TAGCAAACAATTATATGGTAAAGTTGGAGGAAAACTTCCTAGAAGAGGCAATATTAACACCTAAATTATTGGTTAGATAGATGGATGACTATTTAGTCATCTGGCCTCATGGTAAGGAGAATTTAGACAATTTCCTACTTTCACTGAACCAACGTGAAAGGAACATTTAGTTCACGATGGAAATGGAAGAAAATAAGTCCTTCCTTTTTCTGGACGTTCTCATCATTAGAGAAGAGGGTAGGTTAGGAATAGATGTTTATAGGAAGCAAACATATGTTGGCTCTTTGCTTAATTTTCTTTCCAACCATAATTAAAAAACTAAGGTTGGTATTTTGGAGTCAATGATTATTAGAAGTATGAAATTATCGGATAGCAAACATTTGACTAAAGAGTTGGAACGGCTGACAAATATATTCCTTGAAAATAATTATCATTTAGGCCTTATTGAAAATAATATCTCTCTACTGAGAAATAAATTTTCAGACGGAAACTATTTAGTCAAAGAGAGACAGATTAAGACATTTTCGCATGTCCTTATTTTACCGTCATGCTTTCTCTCAAAAAAGATAGGCGAATTAGTGAAAAAGTGGGGCATAGAAACAGTACTCAAAGAAACCCTCAAACTTTTTTCTATTATGCCATCATTTAGAGAGAAATATGATCCCTTATCGAGATCCGGCTGCTACAAAATTGTTTGATCATGTGGTCGATGTTATGTTGGTGAGACATGCCGACCTATTAGACAAAGATTAATAGAACACAAAAATGCTTGCAAAGGTAGCTGGATCCAACGAACAGAAGTGGCAGAACACAGGGTAGAAACAAGACATGAAATAGAATGGTCTCAAACTAGTATGTTTGCTGAATATGGTAAGTCTGTGTTTAAAAGGAAGATAAGAGAAGCTATTGAAATTAATAGCTTATGAAATACATTGAATGTGAGGAATGGAGGTAGAAAGTTCAGTAAGAATTACTTATGTTTGATTGATAGATTGAAAGAGAGAGAGGGTGTTGAGCCACCTCCAAACAGAAGGCACCTCAATTTGTCTGCTCAATGATATTTCTAATTTCACTCACATTCACACTTAATATTATATTATGTTCTTTAAACAAACCAGAGATATCAGATTACGCAACCCCAATCTTGCTTTTTCTTGGAGAGTTAAACGTTAATGACCCTTGACCGAAAGGTTAGGACTAATGGTTTCGTAATTTGATTATAATGCTTAAATAAACTCATATTTCATTATCCCAACCATACTTATCTACGGACTTAAGCAGTCTCAGGCAAAGATTTTCACTTGAATTATTAGGTCTTAAAGATCAGAACAGGAGATTTAATCTTTTTAAAGTCTGATTTAGGAACCGTATTGCATATAGACTCTAATACACACGCAAATATACATTCTCATACAATAGAGCAAAAATAACACAACGAGTATGAAAAAAATTAACCAAACCACTCTATATCGATCTGTCTAGCTTTGTAATTTTTAATCTATTGACTCGACTGAGTCACACCGGATAGTGTTCTTGGTTTAGTATTAATGTGAGACTTACAAGAATGAAACCCAGTTCTGATGATGTCCATCACTGTCTAGATTTGTAATTTTTAATCTATTGACTCGACTCAGTGTATATAAGTAGTAAGATGAAGCCGGATACTGTTCTTGCTTTAGTGTTAATGTGAGACTCTTACAAGAATGAAACCCAGCTCTGATGATGTCCATCATATAATAAACGAAAGCTCAGCACGTTTCCACCTGAAACGAGG